CTGTCCCCGTTATTCAGTTTAAATATTTCTCCAGAAAATCTGTGATTTATTGCCAAGTAACTCAATCCCTTTCTTTGATGGATGCAAACCATCTCTTTTGTACACTTTTTCATTGGACCAGCTGCAGACATTACGGCTAATATAACCAAAGCCTTCCCCTTTACATCATTCCTTTAGCCAAATATTAAATTCTGCTATATGCTGACCTTTTCCATTTTGTTCCTTATACACTGGTAAAACTTCTGAAAAAGTAAGCCTATAGCCTATCCTGCTAAATTCCTGCCCCAAGCTCTGGAAATCATTATGCACAGAGATTACATCTTTTTGGGACAGATCATTAGTGCCAAGATGTACAATAGCATTCACATCACAGTCCTTGCTGGCATTCTTGACTATCTTAAAAATATGCTTCTTGTCCCTGCTGGCAGTAGCACCTGTAAGACACCTGACCTCTTTCAAAACCTCTGTATACTTTCCTAACTTTACATCCCTTATAATTGAATCAAGAATCAAGAAACAGACTTATAGGAGTTTATTTTACACTGAAGTTTATGGTATTATAAATATGCTTATAATTATAAACAGATTAAAAAATTACAATGCCTTACATTTGGCAATGATCTTAAACTACCCAAAGGGGCCATACTGGTTACCACTAGCACTTTAGATTGCATCCAGAAGTGTACAGAAAGCCAGGACCCCCTAGCAGAGGGATAAAGGGCTCCGACTTGTAAATGCTAGATAATCCAAAGGCTGATCCAATGAAGCTTTCATGTGGTTTTAAAGGCACTATTCCAAAATATCTCAAAGAGCTTTGCAGAAAGAATCAAAACAGTAAAAATGAAAAATGAGAGCAAAGACAGCTATTAAAAAAAATAACTGAGGAAGGGTCATAGGTAGTGTTACTAGATGTCCTCTGTCTGGCAGGCATAGCCTTAAAATCAAATATTATCCTTCTTTTTGAACATTTTTGTTTGTGTGTTTGTTTTGCTAATTTGGACAGTTTTCACAACAGTAGTCACTCAAGCTTTCATGTACTATGACCTTGTAAACTGCTTCTTTCTTTTGTCTATCAACAGACTCAATAGCCTAGATTTATGTTATTGAATTTATTTCCTGATTCCAACCATTGGTTTCAATCCATCGCCTTCAAAGCACACATGACATGTCGTACATTTCTATGATGAAATTTGAAAAGTGTGTCATCAATTCTATTTTATTACTAGCATATGTTCTTTTGGACAAAACTCAGCAGCACTTTTTCGTGCGGCTGCTGATATAAACAGGATCACCAACATGATCACCAACGTCCGATAACGGATATGGCACAAGAAGAAGAAGATATGTTCTTTATCTGTTGGGAAAATAATGCAATTGCAAATATTGCAACCAGTCATTTTAATGCTGGAAAAAGTAATTTCATATACATATTGGCCCAAGTATTTTTTGGGGGGGGGTGGGGAGTTCATGGTAATTGTTACAGATGCCAAGAAAATTTAACAGTTAGTGTGTCCTCCTTTTCCTGTCTTCCTTTCCAGTTGTCCATGTCTTCCTTTGCCTTTTCAGATATCTTGTAACCCTAATCATAGGATTCTTTAATGTGCCCAAAACTTTAAATGGTTAAAAAAAATATGTTTGACCTGAGGTAAATTACATTATTCCATTTACTATCATTAGCCATAAATGGAGCATGGAAAAACAATGCCAAAAGAATATTTATGACTCTTTTTGCATTATTAAAAACAATTCAAAAGCAGAATATATTCTTCTTGTGACTGTTTATTAGTTATTTGTATCACATTAACCCAAATTACAACCAAAATGGGGTGAGCCAGAAAGGTTCAGATAACCAAGAGGGTTTATCCAAAGTGACTCAACTTAGTATTTAGTGAATGGGGTATTTAGAAAGAAAGAATTCATATACTTCTCTTTAAGTTGCCATATAAGAAAAAACACGAAATAAGGGGGTATATTGTCTTTTTATTGACTAACCTGTAATCACAGTAAGTAGTTTTGTTAGAGTAACTTATCATATTAGTTGGGGGATATTGAAGTAATATATTACAGATTTTTCTAGTGCTCTTCATTAACTTTTTTTCCCAAAAATAGGAATGTTAAAAAAAAGTAAAATTTCTGGGAAGTGTTATGATATACCGTATTTTCCGGCGTATAAGACGACTGGGCGTATAAGACGACCCCCAACTTTTCCAGTTAAAATATAGAGTTTGAGCGAGAGAGAGGGGGGGAGAGAAAACTTAATGAGTAATATGCCAAACCACATGTGTAAAGGAATAAAATAGAATACCCGTATTTTCCGGCGTATAAGACGACTGGGCGTATAAGACGACCCCCAACTTTTGAGAAGATTTTCAGGGTTTAGAAAGTCGTCTTATATGCCGGAAAATACGGTATCAGTTTTCAACCTTTGCTACCACTGCATGCAAATATCTACAACCCATTTCCCTCCTGGTAGAAGTAGAACAGGGAACAGAATAGAACAAAACAAGCCTTAAACTGCTTTTCAGTCTATATTATCTCAAGGTCAGCCATGAATGTATTCTTTGGAAACTATGTAGATGCCTCAATGGTATATGCTATTTTCACAGTAACATCTCATCCCTGAAGAAGAATAATGGAGGAAAAAAGTAAATCACACTTTCAACCCCAGATTTGAAAACTTCTGCTCCATAGAAATTAACATATCATTTTTATATCTAGCTCCAATGCTTTTTAATCTTTATGACAATAATATACCAGGATTCCTATATGCTGCAGACAAAAGATCAATGACAAATTTATTAATATCCTATTATATGCTGATGACATGGTCCTAGTGGCACATTCCAAAATAGGACTGAGAAGACTGTTGCAAAAGCTAAATACCTACTGTGCTCTTAATTTTTTAACATCAATAAAACCAAACCTAAAGTGATGGTATTTAGCAGAAAAAGTGTGAAATATAACTGGCAGATAAATGGGGAGCCTATTGAACAAGTTTCAACTTTTAGCTATTTAGAAGTGGATGCATATTGGGAACTGATAAGAAAATATCAGCCTCTGAGGTCACAGCAGAAACAGATATCTACTGTATTCCATGCATAGTTATTTAATAATTAAAGTTTTCACATACTAGCAGAAGATCCATTTTATGGACCCTAAAAGACTTCCCCAAAGATGTTTGGCAGAGCAGGTAAGTATGGCTCGGTCCAATTCCTAGGTAAGCCAATTTCCAAAGTTATTTTACAACAGGGTTTTTTTACACAGTATTTACTCTCAATGGCCTCCCAGGGAAAAGAATTTTTTAAACAGAGCATCCTAGATATCACTGAAACTGATATGGAATTATTGGCTAAAAAAACCCTTTAAGTTGTTTGGCTAGGAACAAAACTATTTTCCAATCTGAAAAATATCTGTCAATAAGCTTGACACAATTTTTAAGAAAGGCTACTCTACAGAAGATTTGAGTTGTTGGATTCCATGGCCAAATATTGGTGCTTCCATGATTTGCCATATCACGAGAGGACTTGCATAAGCAGTACTCCAGTCCTTGAAAACATTGCTCATGTTTTGTTCGTCAATTATAAGCCCCCTTTAAGGTTAGATACTTATGATCCATCTTGGGAAGAACAGCCCACTAGGAACCAAATTATAGATTGCTCTAATGTATCTACTGTAAGCAGAATTGCTAAGTTTTTAATTAAGACAATTAAGCTAAGAATCTGATACATCAAACAAACTGGGATACCCTGCAAAGAAGATTCACTCATCTGACTGCTGACTTCTCATATTACCACATATGTATTTTATCATTGTATTTTATCCTGGAATCATATTATGTATTTTATTTTATTTTATATTATTGATAAGGTTGCAAGACTAATCAATATTCTATTCTATTCTATTCTATTCCATTCCATTCCATTCCATTCCATTCTTTCTTAACTATTCACATTGTTATTTATTATATTTGTACAATCACATAAGTGTCCCAGTAGTTCACATACATCTAAAGAAGGACAATAAAACATCCACAGTGGAAAAAAAGTAAATTGTCGAAATCAAATCCTGCAATTACCAATAAGACAACATCTGCTCAGGTTCCCCAAAACTCTCAAAAATAATTTAGCTTTTAAATGTTTATAGAAAGCCAACTCAGGAAAGGCTATATGATAGTATAGGCGCTCTTATAGGAAAGTTGAACTTATGAGTTTACCCCATTCTTATCTCAGGAAACTGGGGCCACTACCACCAGTTTCTTTTTTGAATATATGGTATATTTAATCCTGTGCTAATGTATTTGTGTGTGTGTGTGTGTGTGTGTGTGTGTGTGTGTGTGTGTGTGTGTGATTTAGTTTGCAATATATTTTTGTACTCACCTACCAGTTTTATCACTTTTGCAGTGTGGCTGCTTTTGAATGGTTTCTGATAAAGCTAAAGTGGGGATATGTTTCCTAAATAAAACTGTACTTATTAACTGGTTAAAAGATTTAAAATAAGATATAAGATTATAAAGAATTGAAACTTTTTGACCTTAAGATAGAAATGAATTTTTTCATAGGGCTCAGAAAGCAATAAGTTAAAATGATTGTGCATGAGCTTTCAGTCAGGAATGACAATTCTTAATTTGACTAGCTATAATTACTGCAAAGTATGTTGCACTCATAACTAACTGTAGATACAAATGCACATTAATCTGAATACTAAAAGCAAATGGATCTCTAATTAAACCTGGAGTGATTTATATTATTCAGGTCATTTCAGTATTTATGACTATTTTCAACTGCTTTGTAATATAATGTTATTTTCAAGAGTCTCAGAGGAAACATTCTGTAATCTCTCTGTCTGGAATTTCTTTCATTGCCATCCTGATAAAAGTAGAATGGGGTATTAGTAGAGGAAATAATTAATTGACAGCAGAACATGAAGGTAAAGAAACATTAAAATAAATGCCAGAAAAATCCCACAAATATACAACTTGTTTCTTTTTTTTTTGTTCCCACCTTTTTATAGGCAATCCAGTCAAAGACTCGATCAATATCTGTGGCCTGCTGCACGTCTTGTGACACTGGATGTGAACTTGTCAGACCATCAAGTAACATGACTTCATGTAAAACATCAGTCAGAAACCTCTGCTTCTCCTGAAATTCAACAAAACATGATCATACATTTGTAGTGGGATCAAGAGTGGAATTAAATACCATTATTTATACATTCCTTTTTACAAGATAATTTTACAGAGATATTCAGTGGATTTACAAGATTTTTTTCCCATGGAGTTGTACATTATCATGATCATTTTCTGAGAAGAGATTAACTTCAATACTTCATGGCTTCAAACAAAGTACTCTTATTTAGAAAGAAAAAAATTAAAATATATTTTATTAATCACTACATTGTTTGTACTTTTGAATTGATTTATACCTAAATCTTCTGAGAACTTCACACGTTTCACAAATATATATATATATATATATATATATATATATATATATATTAATATTTAACTACTTCATGACTTTGTATAGTACATGAAAAATAATGTTTATTTATGTGCTGATATAAATTGTTCTCTGCAATATAAAATGCTGTTCCATTTGTGATCCATCTGGAAATTCAGATTTTAGGTAAAAATTATTTGTGCCATCATGTTATGGTAAAGATGCCCTTGAGTCACAATCAGTTCTTGGGAGTTTATGTGGACATAGTGAAGTTTCATGCTGATGGTACAGAAGTGATCTCACACCACCTTCTTCTGGCATAACTTTTAACTTTCCAGTCTAGTGTACATCCCTGATGTTCCATGATATTTCCAATTGTATAACTAACAAAGCTTCCTGGTTATCTAGGGGCTTGCCATTTTCCTTGAAAAAGTGGTCTAGAGGCTGCCACATTTCAAACTATACCGTATTAAATTTATGATCTTCTCATGCATACATCCAGACTTATAAGCAGCTTTACTCTTGAATATAATAAAAATGTGTTACCTTATCTTCATTCCATAATTATATGAAATTTTAAATTGAAAATTAAGAAGCACAGGCAAAACAGGTATAAATAGGCTATTTAATTATGAATGTCTTAATCCATGTTTCCAAACAATAGAACTTTTAAAAGTCTACTAAAGGTGAAAGGTTCAAACTTGCTGTTATGTTATGGTTTACATTGGTATCTTCCATTTTACTAAAAATTTTCAAACATAGGCTGGATAATAATCTATTAGGAATGGTGTAATGAGTCCTACAGCATGCAAGGGGTTTGATGGTCTTTAAGTCCCTTCCAGTTCTATGATTCTAGGACACTCCATCACAAGCCCCACACCATTAAAATCAGATATTTATTGACACTGACAATTCACTTCTATTAAGAGGAAGGACTTCATTACTTAAAGAGATTGTTATATGCCATGTATGCAATCACACTGTTGATCTAAAGCCTGCAGTTTCATTTCCAGCACAGACTTATCAAACAATTCATCAGACATAATGATTAAAAATAAAGCATTTTAGTATGTTTAGATTTAGAAGACACTTTTTGGTCAAAGAATCTTGACATCAGTGCTTTCTCCCTTTCATAGACAGACACATTTTGTCACAAGAAACAAAATATTCAAGAACTAATAGTCATGCAGGGACCTTCTACTGCTTATCCACCATTAATATTTAGAATATTGGAGAACAGTAAAAAAATAAAGATAAACAGAATATTTTGTTTATTTTCAAAAAAATTACATATAAAATAAAGTGTTTTACATGAAAGTGTTTTATTTCTTGGGGAAAGCAGAAAGAAACTAGCTTAATTATGAATTTAATATACCTATCAATTATTCAAAGTAATTGGATTTTAATAAAAAGAAAGAAAGAAATGTGCTAGGAGAAGACACTAACAAAAGATCAATACAGAACTCCCATTTCGGCATAATAAATATTTAAAATCTTAAATGGGAAGGTGTTTCATTCTTATTACCTATTCTGGGGTGAGAATATCAATATACAGCAATATGTTCTTGGTTTAGAAGTATCCTGAATGAAAATTGCAGCCATATATTAAAGTTTCATGGCAGAACAAGGCAGTAAGACACGTTGGCTCTGTCTGAAAAACTAGCTCATGGAATCCTTACAATAATGATATACTGAGATTTGCTATCTATTCATTACATTTTTAATTACCCAACATCTGGTGAGCTCTGCTATTTGCAGATATTATTGGATAGTTACATGTATTTTATACCAAGCTGTTATTATTTTACTATTGTACGTTTTGCATTTTAAAACAATTAATAAATGATATAAATTCCAATAAAGCAAATAGGTATCACTGTTCTCTACATGCATATATCTGGCTAGCAATTATGCACTTATATTTTCAAGAATTATGTACAAGCTATTCTATTTAAGGCTTGAAAATAAAACAGCATCAATTAAAATTTATGTGGGCATGAGATGTTCATTTATAACTAGCAATTAAGTTAAAGGAGCTATATATGAATAAAAGGTACAAATGAAGAGTTCACTCAACTTATGTTCCTGTTTTCAGAAATATTTAAATTACCTATTCTTCCTTCTGATAGTTCATAGTTTATTATATACATATGATGAAAAGGAAGTCACTTCTCCTGGGTTTATAATACTGGTTGATATAAAAACAACCATTTAAAATAATTAGTATGACAATAATGCAATATTGAGACCGATTTAAGAAATAATTGTCCCAAAGTCTAATACTATCAGACATAAGCAATCTACCATCTCTGCATGTGGTCTCAGCTACTCTTGTGCAGCCCATAAAATCTTAAGGACCTCTCCCCGTGTTTTTTTCTTTTTCCCTTTTCTTTCTTTTTTCACTACCCAACCAACCAGCAATTAGCTGGTGTGTTTTCTCACTATCAGATGAAGTTATTTTGAGTAATTGTTATGAAATGCCTGAAAAAAAAAAAAAAGCTGAGAAGACACAGGATAGCAGTTTTCAAATACAGGTAATCCTTGACTTACAACCACAATTGAGCCCCAAACTTCTTTTGCTAAGTGAAACATTTATTTTGCCCCATTTTACAGTCTTTCTTGCCACAGTTGTTAAGTGAATCACTGAAGTTGTTAAGTTATAACACAGTTGTTAAGTGAATCTGGCTTCCTCACTGACTTTGTCAGAAAGTCACAAAGGGGGATCACATCACCCCGGGACACTGCAACTGTCATAAATATGAGTCAGTTGCCAAGTGTCTGAATTTTGATCATGTGACCATGGGGATGTGCAATGATCATAAGTGTGAAAAATGGTCATAAGTCACTTTTTCAGTGCCAATGTAATTTTGAACTGCCACTAAATGAACTGTTGTAAGACGAGGACTTCCTATATCTTAAATGATGACACATAAAATGGGAGTGAAGTTATTCTCTATTGCTGCAGAAAGGACCAAGAACAGTGGGTTAAAACTAAAGAGCTTAAATTAGACACCAGGAAGAATGTCCTGACTGTATAGGCTCTGAACCAGTAGAACAAGTTGCCATATGAAGTGGTGACTTTTTACCTGGAGATCTTTGATCAGAGGCTGGATGCTCAACTATCAAAGACACTCTAGTGGGTACTACACTTATGGAGGTCTAAGTTGATGAAATCAAAGATATTTTTCCCTTTGTAAACAATGAAGCACTATATGTATTATATATTCAGAACAAGTTAAATCCATCACTACTAAATAACATGTTCTGCCTACCAGAGTAAAGTATGTATTTACCTACTACCTATTCTGCTGTGAAAGAATTTCTTCCCAAGAACCGCATATGAATGATTAGTGGAAAATGAGAGAATAATACCAGAATTTTCACGCTATTGTGTGTTATGAATTAAAAGCTTTTTATCTAGATCCTTAAACAAGAATAGTTACAGAAGGAATATTTCCTTTAAAAGATTGAAAAGAAAGTCTCAATATATTACTTGAAAGAATTACTTTATGTTGAAGTAAAAGAAATATTTCCAAAATAATTCATTGAAATAATAAAATCAGTTGAGACAATCTTCAGTATCAGTTGCAAACTTTCATGCACTTTTATTATTTGAACTGTAAGTCTCACAAAATGTTATAGCATTTTAATGAAGATGATAAATATTTTAGTAGATAGTTTAAGGCAAGTAAAATCTACTTATAGTTTTGGTCATCTTTGTTTAAAATCCTATTCAGGAAGAAGATCAACAAATGAAACCATCCTCTTGGGTTCTGGGTTGTGTACGATGAGATACTTTAAAATACTTAGTTTAAGCAACCTTACCTTAATGATACTCAATTAATATTTATTTTTGTGTTTATTAAATCCACTCAAGTCTGTCTTTATAAAAAGAGAATGATTATATGCAGTTATTTCGATTTTAAACTAGTTTCAGTTTTCCAGGAGAAACGATAGAATCAACTGGAGCATGGAATACTATTCTGTGATGGATTGCTTTAATTCAATCCACGGAAGATGAAAGAGTTTGCATAATAGCTGGAATTCAGAACTTAATCTTTGATTAAAAGTTTAGTTTTTCCAGCAACTTTATTGGATAAATCAAGGCAGGTTATTTCAAGGTGTTTGTTATGCTGAAATTTTTCCTCTTGATTCAGGTTTTTTTCTACTTTTTCCTGAGAGAAGGCTACACTGTCAGTCTATATTGATAATTTTTGGGCGTAAGCATGTTAGACACATTTTTATTAAAATATATTATCTCCATAAACTATGAATATTTTTTAAAGTGGCAGTTAAGGGAAAGTCACAGTAGCCTTCTTAAAAAAAGATTAAGGGGGCAACAGGAGAATTCAATGCAACTGTCATCACTGATGTATTCTGTCTTGACTCATCCAATAAAGTTGTTAACAAAGCAAAACTTTTATGAGCAAAAGGGAGAAGGCCATTGAGTCCTTTTAAATGCTTTATCAGCACTGAGTGTGGTAATGCTTACTAAAGCATTTGACACTTGGTATTTTATGGATAAAAAGGGAAATCACTCACTAGCAATTCCCTTTGTCATAGTCTTCTCCACTGCATTTTACTAACACAGACATTCAAGGACAAAAATAATGTCAACTCCCCCTATGTGGAAGCAGAAAAAATAAAAAGCTATGGATACCATCTAGATAGGATTACATCCTATACTTCTATTAAAGCAATTTAAAGAAACTTAAAACAAAATACTCTGATTCAAATGATGAAAAGAAGGAAACTCTTTATATATTCTTTTTCAAACTGAAAAAAAACACCACAATTTACTGATAGCACCAGTAGTTTCAATTTAGAAGTGCAAAACAATGGTTTCTTGAAATATTATGCATATCTCCTAAAAATGTCTTCATTAGTGCATGTGATCATGTTTATCTACACACTAGGCACTGTTTAGAACAGCATATATCCACTTAGTAATTTAGGATAACATACATCTAAATTTACAGCTAAAGCTAAAATTGTCAGGATTAGTACACTGAACAAACATGAAGGAAAAGATATCACAAATTTGTTGCATATTTGGTTCACCTGTCTACAAATAAATCATACATGAGGAAAATTTGTTAGGGCATGCCAAAAACATCAATAATCAGTTGAGCCAAGACTAGGCAAAAAAAATGCAAAAGAGTTTCTGTTAAGCCACGTAAAAGGCAATAGAAAGAATCGGCTTTAAACTTAAGTGGATGTGAAACCAAATTAATTATTTGAAGCGGTTTTAATCTTAGTGTGGAATAAAGGTTCTTTGCAAGCTGTCCCACACTGAGTGTTTGGAAATCGTCAATAAAATTTGATCCAGCTAAGGAACAATACAGTATATTCTTCATTGTGGAAACTTTAAGGGGAAAGTCTTAGAAATCCTTGAAGCAACTTAGTTATTTTTTAAAAAAATCTGATGGTATGAAAAAGGAGAGATACAACTAGGTAAAGTTTTCTGCTCTGACTCAATTCTCATTTAAAGGTGAGAAAAAATTCTTGTTTGTCAAACTGGCTTACTGTTATACCCAAATCTGCCCCTTACAATAAAGCAAAGTTAAGTTATCTGGAGTATCATTTATCTTGCACAGACAGATACTGACTTCAAAATGTAGTAGAAGTAATTTTAACATGCATATATTCATTGCATTCTATCATTCTTACAGTATTTTCAAAGATCAATATCAATAATAAATAATAACAGCTATTCCATTTTTAAATATCAGAATAATCTTTTAACAACAGAAGCTTTCATCCCTGCTGAAATATTTCTAATCATAAAAATATACATAGATGATGCTATCCATTTTATGATATAAAACACAAAGTAGTAGTAATCAGAAGTAATTGAAGGCCAACTTTGTACACACCAGTTCATACACTGACTTTTGTTATTTAATCTTTCTGCCTTCTTTGAACTTCTCATCATTTTCATCCAATCCCAATGTTCTCGATTTTTGACTTCCTGCCAACAAATCTTTCTTTTGTACTGGATACAATTCAGAATCCATTCACTTTTTATTGCTTTTGTTTCTTCATGCTCAGTTCTGAAATGTGAACTAGTCACATTTTAACTATCTTTCTTAACAGTGTAAGAAAGAAATGCTTTATCAATCATATATTACTCTTGCTGCACTCACGTCCATAGTGGGCAAAACAATCCCATAGACAAAGCCTATTCCCTATAACCTGAATATCTGAAGGGCCACTTGTTTCCAAGAATTTCTGCCCACCCACTATGTTCCAGAAGAATAGGTGTTTTCCATATCCTCTCCATTAAATATTGTCATCTTGTGGGACCAAAGGAATGTGCTTCTCTGTTGCAGCCCCCACCTTCTGGAACAGCATCCCTCAGAGATAAAAATGGAGCTCTTTCCTAGGGTTCCAGAAAGCTTTGAAAACCTGGTTTTGGCCTCAAGCCCGCAGTTGATGTTTGTTTTATCTACAGCCCTTGTTTTGTTTTGTTGATTTTGTTATTTTAATCTGGGTTATCAGATTTAATGTTTTAACTGTTTTTATGTTTTTTCTACTTTTGTACGCTGCCCAGAGTCCATTGGAAGTTGATGGCTAATAAATTGAATTAATTTAAAAAATAATAAGAATAATAGAAGCAGAGATTTTCTTCAAGTCAAATAAAAGTAAAGGTGTATCGGCTGATTACATACAAGACAACAAAGAACAAAAGATGCAAATTCAAACTTGGAACTTAGTGAATGTGCAGGAAACAAAACATGAATATTGAACTAATATAATAAAAACAAGAACAGAATGCTGGCCCGAAAAGGCATTATAGAGTCAATTTCTATATAAGATTGAGGGGAAAGTGGATAAAGATAAAACCTGGCAATGGCTTACAACTGGAACTTTAAAGAAACTGAAAGCTTGATTTTGGTTGCTCAATAGCAAACTATGCAATCTAAGGCAATCAAGATCAGAATTTAAAAATTATTAAATGATTCCAGGTTAGAACAATTAACCAGTGAAACAACCTGCCTCCAGAAGCGGTGAATGCTCCAACACTGGAAGAGTGCTCTTTTAAAGAAGAGACTGGACAGCCATTTGTCCAAAATGGTATAGGGTTTCCTGCCTGAGCAGGGGGTTGGACTAGATGACCTCCAAGGTACCTTCCAACTTTTTTATTATTATTATTATTATTATTATTATTATTATTATTATTATTATTATTATTATTATTATTATTATTATTATCCACATAATACCAGGTTGAAGTATATTAACCTAGAGAATGATCACAGGATATGCTGCTGCACACATACAGTATGTGCGATATATGCTTGAATTACAACTCCCTGAAGCGTGGTCCTAACCAAGAGTATGAAAGGAAATTATCTTTTTATCAGATTTTACATAATAAACCTTTTATAAACTTACCAAATTCCAGCCTGGATAGAGATAGTCAGTTCCAACAAATTCAAAATAGTGAGCAAAGCCTTCTTTTAGCCACACATCTTCCCACCATACTGGAGTTACAAGATCACCAAACCACTGAAAAATAAATCCAGATTGATTAAATTATTGTTTTGTTTATAGTTTTCATTTCTGTACATTCAATTTCTATAATCAAGTGGAATGAATTCCTTGCAACGACACTGAAGAGTGATTGTACAAAATGCTTAATTTTTTCTTATCTTGAATTACCTCATAAAATTCAACACATGAAAGGTTATCAGGATAACTGCATCCTATAAACTGTTAATTTATTTCCCTTACAATAGAGATGGACATTTATGAGGGATTGGAATCATAGCTGAACTTTATGAAGAACCATAGGAGGACATTTGGTGGTACAATGATGATACCAGAATACCTATACCTGAAATTTTCTGATTCACTTTTGGGCAGGTTTGGGGAACAGCTAAGGGTAAGAATGGGAATAGAGGCCTCTGTGAGGCAAATAGGAAACATATGCAGGTCACAGGTTGCCCTCTCTTCCTTTATAATATCAGTAAATACTAAACTACAGTTTCTGAAAAACCAGACTACATGCTTCCTAAATAAAAGAATGGAATGAAATTGTTGTTCAACCAAAATAAGTTCTTAAATATTTAAATCATTGGAAAGAAAGAACCATAATCATGTTTCATAAAGTTGTTTTTGGCAGCAACAGCAACACACTTAAATACTGCTTCTTTCTAATACCAGAACAATGTACTGCATAAGTCAAAACACAGCATATCAAAAGAATATGAATATCACATTGGAAACTTACCTAATGTACTGGGACCTGATGCAGACTTATGCATGCTTACAGTCATTGATTAATCATGACTAATTTGTTCACTGATATCATGGGATCTACCTCATCTGAGACAGGATTCAATTTATTATCAAATAATTATTCAAACATAAATTTCATTATGATTGCAATAAAAATTCATGCTATTCTTTCTAAATCGTTATGGATTTGGTGATTTTGGGGCTTGAGAGAGCTCTTTTATGCCATTTAAATAATCTAGGGATATTTTCTGTAAGCTTACAACAGCTGCACCTTGTAGAGCAGCATCCTCCTGGAGATTGGGATGTCCCTGACCTTCTTAGCCTTTGATGAAGACCTGTCTGTTGAGCCAGACATTTGGGCCAGGAGATGAGGCAGGCTCTGCTGATGATGTGCTCTTTATGATTGTGATATGTTGCTTACCTCAAGCATCATGAATTATTGGCTGTGGTAGTTGCTTTTTTTAATCCTTGTACACAGCCCAAAGTCACTGCTGTGAGATCAGCAGCCATATGCAGTAAATCATTTAAATAAGTAAAATAACTCTAACTAGTCATACAGGTTAGATCATTGTGAATTGTTTCCTAGTTCTCTGCAGGTTATTCTGAAGGGCTGTAAAAGGGAAACAACTGATTTTTCATTAGGGGAGGGCTAAGTAATTCCATCCTATTCCAGTGAATACATTGAATAAAAACAGTTGTGCACTCATTCTGAAGGGCAAATATCTTTACTGTAGATGTGCAAGTAATGTTTTTTCCTTTAGAAAAACAACTTAACTCATATGTACATATGCACAAGCAATGAATAAATTAAACATAATTAATAAAACTGGCTTTCAGCCTATTTTGCAATTGAACCAAAGAAACTATTGATGCTTCATTTAAATATACATATGAATTAAAAGTACAGTTAATATAAAAACAAATTAGAACATCCAGGGAAAGTAACAAATTGAGAGATTATCTTATGTTTTCCTATATCAGTGATGGCGAACCTTTTAGAGACTGAGTGCCCAAACTACAACCCAAAACCCACTTATGCATTGTCGGATGCCCATTGGCTAGGTGTGGCCCATTGGGTGGGCGTGGCTGTGGTGGTAATGGCAGACTGGGTGGGACTAAAAAGTTCAATCAATCAATTCCAACTTTGCAAGATCTTTTTTTTCCCACAAGAAGTTGAAATTGACTGATTGATTGAACTTTTTTTTTTTGTACACGAACTAAAGCGAAAAGGTTTTATAAAACCCAGCTGAAGGCCTAGGACTGGGGCGACAGCGTGCGTGCCAACAGAGAGGGCTCTGAGTGCCGCCTCTGGCACCCATGCCATAGGTTTGCCACCACTGTCCTATATACTACTCCTATAAAGACTTAAATACATTATGAATTATTTACATTTGCTTAGTAATATATTTGCAATATTTAATATATTAAGATATACTTGGTAGATACTTATTTTAGAAATGCTTTCTAATGTCAAAAAACTCATGTATATATGTAATTATAAATGTTTGATAAAAAGTCTATTTCTGATAAACTACTGGATAACATTTTCTAAGTTAAAGTATCAGAAATTAGATTAAGATATCCTGGATGCTATTGGCCTACAACAATAATTACTAAGGGAAAAAGCTAAAATATAAAAAAATGAGAGCTTTTTGATTTTGTGAAAATGATAGCTGCAAAATAATAAAGAAGCAGTTT